ATTTACCGAGCCGCGAAGCGGCTCGGTAAATATCCACCGCTAACCACCGACACTGAGGTGAATAGTTGTTTTAGTATGTACTAAAACAGTGAGATAATATACACCACCGTCGTTAATTTGAGTGATTTCTTCGCTTGTCACGGATGGAAACCGGGACGCCATTTTTTCTCGAGTTACTCGGAGGTAAATAGCAAAGGATATTCGGAGTTTGACTAGCCAATCAGAGCACGCCTTCAACGCTATCCACTGTTTTAGTATATACTAAAAATATATATTCTTCTGCTTCTAAAATTGCGAAAATTAGTCATTGCTTACATTTGAAGTGGAGCGCTTTTCAGTTGAGTGTCGTCAAACCAATTTCAAAGAAACAGTGCAACAGTTGATCAAGTGAAAGGTGAACATCATACTCGTGGTACTAACGAAAATTCAAGTTAAAAGAAGAAACTGGTCAGGCGCGGGAAAACGCGGCGCACGTGACTAAGTTGTAGGCCTTGCATCTGATTCAGTTGGTTGAAAAGATGTGGCGTCTCAGTCAGCAAAATCATGAGGCTGAGATGAGTAAAATACGGAATACTTCTAACACTCAAAGAAAATGTTGCTTACGATTATTCTTTTTCCTTTTTAAGGTGTTTTCAAATTGCTCTTTCTCTTTGTCATATTCTTTCCGAGGAAACAACAAGATATCGTTTCTGTTTGGGCATTGTCTGATCAAAATGACGTTTTTTCTCTTGAATGTGACGTATAGGGTCAACTACTGAGCAACAGGAAGCATCACTGCTAAAATTTTTCAAACTGAATGGCGATGACCAAGTTGTAAGAAACACGGGAATTAACCTCACAAACAGGAACGAGACTTTGAACTATTCACGAGATTGTAATCAGCTCTTCAAGGGAATATGCGCTCACAAATTGAAGAGTAAAAGTAACAATGTTAAAAAGTCGTTCCGTCCCAATGATTACGATGACGATGATTACGATGACGACGGTGAAGCTTCCGACGACGAGGAATTTTCAGAGGAGGCACGTGATCACGAAAAGTTATTCGACGACGAAGCAGGGGATGATGGGGATTACGGGCCACGGCATGAAAGGCCTGGGTTTGATGATGGTATAGACAGTGATATGGACGCAGATTGGGACTGGGAATCGCCAAGGCAATATTACGGAAAACATGGTAATGAACTTAAAGTTAAGTTATGTAAATGACCTAAAACGCAGGGAAAAGTCGATGACGAAGTCGTAACTGCTTTTTGTCTGCATCTGATTAACTTAGAGGTTTCTTGATCACAGAGTGCAATGGAGCAAACCCAGTCCTAGATTACTTTGAATTGCTTTGGGTAGCTTTGACTACAAATCAAAATTATTTTATATCCTTACAGACAGGGAAAGATGGAGATCTCATCACCTACCGGACTATGACGATGACTACGAACCCAGTTATCCCCTTTACTATCGCCATCATCCAAGACACACTCATTATCGTCATCGTCGTCGTCATCATTATCAAGCTCCCGCGCATGCGTACTACAGAACACTCAGCCACACGGCGCCTCCCTGGCTCATTTATTCTCAGGGATATTCCGGCAGAACTCCTGTATCAACTCCAGCTTTTTTCCCCTTTGTCTCAAATTCCGCAGTCACGGGTTGGCTACAACCTCCTGCCTCTTACAGTACGGCGTGGCAGCCTCAATATTATCTTAATCAGAGACCTGCAGCGAATATCTTTAAAGTTCGACTTGCAGCAGCTGGCAGCTGGGGCCCTTATCAACAAAACGTGCACAACCATCCGCATCGAGAATCCAACTCCTTTTTCATTCCACCATATCCTCTTTCATCAAATCCACATCTACAGGTTACCACACGGAACCACGTGGGATTTTCTCCTGCAAATTTTCTCCCTGGGATAACAGCATCTGTTACCCCAATATCTCACTACATCTATCAATACCCTCGGGTAATTTATAACTCTAGACATTTTGCTGGTCCTTTTTCTAGATCGTTCCCAAAGCATCGAGAGTTTTCTGACGCGGTTCTTAACAGAATTAGAGATCAAAACCTTCACTGAGTAAATCAGTGTACCAAACCCCTCCTTTTTGGATTTGGATAGTAGTAACAGAAGTATTTAATACCAACATTTGCTACAAATTCTTGAGGAAGGAACTTAAAGTTGGCCTGACTTGTTTAATACCTCGTTTGAAACTCTGAAAATGCCACCACAAGAGAGTCGACCATGCAAAATCAGAGAGAGCCGTTCGAACCAGAACAAAGTTTTTGTATAGAGGCGAACTTACTATAGAATGAAATGTTGTTTCATTTGACACCACCGCCGTAAAACTGGAAAGAAAACAAAAATGTAAGGTGCGAGATAAGTATTTTCCCTTTAATCGAAAAGTTTCTTTGCAGAAAGAAAGGAGCATGTATGATCATTTTTGATTTTCTAGGAATGTCATTAAGTGCATTGATATCATACATGCACGAACATATGTACAAATGATTTACTTGATGAAATAAAATATTTCCAAACTAATTGTGCTTCTTGCTTCTCGCTATGTATCCTTAGACGTAGACGTTTTTCGCCACGTGGTGACAAGCGGACTCAAAGCTGACCGGATGAGGCGCAGTTGGCTCCAAATTGGGCGGAGTGGCCCCTGAGAACAGCTGTGCATGAGCTGGATTGATCATTTTAACATCTGCTGAGCAGGATGTGCTCGATAACGCAGATTCAGTGGGCCGCGTTGGTTGAGCTGTGGAGCTTGATATTGGCAACAAGGCTATAAGATTTGGTTGTGGAAGAGGGTGCAGTGAAGGGGTTGAGACAGCGGTTGTCCGGGGAAGTCCTGGCAAACCTGTTGGTATGGCAGATGGTGGAGATGACGCGTTACTCGTTATACATTCTATAGAAAAAAAATTAAGATATTTATAAACGGAGTAAAGTCATACATTTCTTTTGCGAAGAACATGAAGGTTGAAGCTGTTACACATCACATTTTTTCTTCGCCGGACATGAAGGATAGGTTAAGGATGAAGCTGCCACAAAATAATTCTAGTGAAGTGTTTAAATTTAGCGCGCAAACTGAAACGTCCACCGTTCACGTATTTTATTAGTGAGAATTCTTCCTAGCGTTAGATGAATTCGAAGTGTGCAGGTACTCCATCATTCAGGTAGTTTAACATATCAAAATACAGCTAAACTTCGACAAAAGGCGTCCTCCGAGTAGAGTCGGTTCTTTGGTCAAGCTTACAGTAACACATTTCGAGGAGGCCCTTACCACAGTTGGGACCAGAGTTTTTTTCCCTTGAATGGAAGGGTCTTTTTTAGGAATCCCAATTGAAAGATACTTCTCTAGGGTGTTGTTTTGGAGACTTGCTCTCTTTTGTTTCAGGCTCCATCCCATATGGAACTTAGCTCAGTCATGCGTGTCCCAAAGAAAATCATTAAGAGGCGAAAAGCGAAAAAATAAGGTCATCGTAACTGCTAATCATGATTTTTGGAAAATCAAAGATTTAAAAAAATGGTGAGTTTTACTTACTGACAATGTGAAGGCCTGGAAAACATAACGAGACCACTGTTAGAAAAACAAAAGCGTGAAACTTTGCACCCATTCCACGTGTTTCAACGAGAACCAGTTCAGAATGACAATGGCCCAGCTGGTACAACGAAACTATTAAATAACAATGAAGATCATAACATTTGAAAGTTTCTCGTGAATTTGTCGGCGAAATCTGAAATCTTCCGTTCTTGAGTTTAAAATCATCGACTTGGTTTTCTCTTACCGTAGTGTATGTGCTGTGACAGGTTGCGATTTAGATATGCATCGCGATTTGTGCGAGAACGGCCCACGAAAATTGTGCTTTGACCCAAAGAGTTATCGAATGTGTTTGCTGAGTTTTCTGGAAATACCACCCTATAATACCTTGCGGTCTTATCTTTTCTCAATTTGTGCCCACGATGATTTTCTCAATGTGGTCAGTGAAAATATTGTTTTCCTCGATTGATTACCTGAGTTCCAGACTCAGCAACACAAGGAATTCCCGCTGCCTCGATCATGTAATTATTACAATATATCTATCAACTCGCTTTCCTATCATCATTTTTTTGACGGTTAAATATAGCTCAGCAATTTATTTAATTTGCGACCTTTCAATCATCATCGTTGTTCATGACATAGAATATCGACCTTGTAAGAAAAAAATTTGTTTCTGTAACACGATAACTACTCGCCTACAAAGGGAAGAAACCGAACGCCCTTTTCCTGGAGCTACGAGATTATTACCTCGTTCTTCTGGCAAGCGGGAGACTTGGGTCCCCATGATGGCGTGTTGTAAAACGGAAATCACGTTCATCACATTGTTCGTATTTTAGGAAAAAAGGTCTAGATGATAATATTTAATTGCTTTGAAACTTCAGCGAGGAAGAAAAGTAAAAACTAGTCTCGATTGACTCTTCCTTTATATTCAAGTCCAGTGTACACGTAATGTTTTGGCTTACACTATTTTGCGAAACGAAACGAAACGAAATTGTACTATTTTGCGAAACGAAACGAAACGAAACGAAATTTTGCGAAATGGCGTTTTTTCGCGCTTATTTAGCAAATATGTCCTCCTCGTCCGAAACAAAATGTTTTCACTAATAAAATGATCAATATTTCGAAGAGCCT